GAAAATCTGAGGCTGAAGACAGAAGGTCTCTATGGGGCTACCCATTCCCATGCTTAAGGTATTCCCTCCCCACCCCAGGCCAGGTGGCAGAACCAGGTCTTCAAAGCCTTATGGAAGGCCAGGAGTATGCACTATGCATGCAAATTACAATCACTTTATTGGGTAAATTTTGAATATATCCTACTCTACAGCTTTCCCTCCCCCCAAATTCCCATATGTGCCTATGAAAAGCAGAAAGCAAAACAGGCAGGGGTCCTTTCTTGCCCCATCTTTCCTTGAACACCATGGAGGTCTGTGGCCATATTCAACATTTCAAGATGTTCTCCTTTGGAAGCTACCATAGTTCTCACCCACATTCCTGTCCAACATCAAATGATTATCAGATAATCCTGTTTGATATCATGGGTTATGTTCCTCTTAGGGCTTTGTTCTACAGGGAAAGAACTGCATGGTGTTGTGTACAGTGGTGGGGACCATTTTATCTCCCATAGATCACCAAGGCAAAACAAATGGTTGCTATGAGACCCTAGTTGTGCCTCCAAGACTCTTTCACGTACGTGATGCTGAAGATTTGCTGCAGGGACTGAAGAAATATGAACCTCAGGACTTTTCACCATGTCCTTGCTTTACAGAGCCCAGGAGGGCAATGATGTATAATCATTGATTGATTGCGTGCTTGAAAAGGATGCAATAAGGAGCAAATGCTCAAACAACGGATAGAAGATGGGCAGACAATCTTACTCTTCACCAAATCACAGGATGGTTCCACAGGCACCTTTCTTCATTTATGACTGCCCCTTCAAGTCATGTCTTCCATGAGGGCGAGGAAGGGGAGAACATTCACTTTCTCCCTCCCACATATGTCCCAGATAGAAATGACAAGTTATGGAATCTAAGAGCTGTGCTGGATCACACCAAAAGAGTAGATATCTGCAGGACAGAAGCACGTTAACACTTTTCCATTCAGGTCTTTTAGTAAATGACAAGAGGATATGTATTGCTTGCAATACTACAAATAAAGCACCACCATTGTGACTAGTAGCCATTTACACTCCTAACCTCCACGTCATTCAAAGCAGAGACCTTCTTCCATATGTTGCTGCCCCTGCCACAAGTTATTTATTGACTTTATCTGTCCTAAAACTCCAATTTTTGTTCTGAGAAAAGAGGAAACATTTATCCCAATTTTTCTCTTTATGAACTTCTACATGTGTCCTTCCTTCCTTCCTTCTTTTTTTTAAGCAAAAAAAGTATTTCTTAATAATCCTCTATATAAAATGTACTTTTTATAGTAGCGGCACACTGAGGCCAGATTTGGAGGTATGTTTTAGATCACTATCTTGGTGAAATATTCAATATCTCTTCAGCTTCAGTTTCTTCATTGACTGTGAAACATTATCTGGAAAACCAAGATAAATCTTTGCTAGATCTACCCTCCAGCCGGTCAGATCTGGAAGACAGAACTTACAAAGCACAAATGACCCATTGAAAGGTTTAGCTGACATTGGTGCAGCTGTCCACAAATCCACAATACAGCATTGCTTGTATAACAGTGATCGGAGTGGGAGAGTTGTCAGAAGGAAACCCTGTCTCTGACCTCAGACAAAAGTCATCACTTAAACTATGCTGTATAAAACCTTAATAACCCTAAACGTTTGGAACAAAATGCTTTGGAGTGATGAAACAAAAATTGAACTGTATAGCCACCAGCACAAAAGTGAATTTGGAGATAAAAGGATGAAGCTTTTTTTTAAAAAACACTTTGTCAACCATTAAGGTAGCTCTCTTATGGTTTTGAGTTGTGCAGCAGCCAGTGGAACAGAAAATATTGTGCAGGTGAAAAGAAGAATGGGTTCCACTAAATACCAACGCTCCCTAGAAGCTAATGTCCCACAGTCTGTGAAGAAATTGAAGCTGAAAAAAGGTTAGAACTTGAAATACACCTCTACATCAACCAAGTACTTACAAGAAAGAAAGAGAAGGGGATTAGAATGACCTTCACAGCCTCCAGACTTGAATATTATTGAAAATCTGTAAGAAGATCTCAAACATGCAATTTCTGCAAGGAGATCTGAGAATAATTTTCAGTCAGAAGAGTTCTGCAAGGAAGAGTGGGAAAAATGCCAAAAGTAAGAATGGGAAGATTCTTAGCTAGTTACTGAAAACATTTGAAAGAGATTATGTCTGCCAAAGGAGACATGTTAGAAAGTAGTGACTGAAAAGATGACCAAACCTTTTCATCTGCCATATTCATATTTTCTTATTTTGAATCGTTGTAACTGCACTTACATTGCAGTATGCACTCCAATTTGCAAAAAGATGTTGTGATTTAACTTTGTACCATGCAGAGGTTGTGCCAGCCTCCCTTCACTTAGTGATTCACTAAAACATACAACTTGGCCAAAGGTACCTAAAGTTTTCCATATCAGTGTAGTTATGAATCACTTTGAGACCACGCAAGATCTCCTGGGCATTTCAGACAGGGCACAAATAATATCCAACCATTACTAAATTATGTCTGAGGCCTGGTATCGTGCCCATTTTGTGGACAATCTTGCTTCTTTGCCTGATATCATGTCCTTTCTGAATAATATTATTACCTCCACTACTGATATGAAAAAAGAAAGAAACCAAAACTAAATGCTTAGAAACAAAATACACATTTAGTGGGAGAGAGCAGAATCCCAAGAGCATAAATAGTGATTTGCTATTTCCCAAGCAATTATTGGCTAGTTAGGTGAAAACATCTTTATTCCATTAAAAGATCATGCAATGTTAACACTGCCTTTCTTCTGTGACAAAAGGCAGCTCTTTCTCAGAACTGGCACAATTAAATGCTATCTTTCGGCAGCCTTATTTCTGCTTTCCATTTTATCCTACTCTTCATGGTTCCTCATCGTCTTGTTGATTTCTTTTCTGGTTAAAAAAAAAAGCACAAGAAATGGAGAGGATATGTCATTTAATTATTTATAATAAGTGTACTAATTTATTATTTCAGCTTTCCTCTAGGAGCTATAGAAGGCCTACACAAAGCTCCCTCCACCCATTTTCTCCATGACAACGACCACCATGTGAGGGGGTTGGATTAAAGAATGTGACTGTCCCAAAATTGCCCAGGTGCCCAGGGGCAGATTTGAACTTTCCTACCCTTAAGCACATCTCCGGAATCATGACACCATACTAGCAGACCTACATAGATGTCCCCCCAAGAAATTTAACAGATTTGTGGAGACATAATAATAATAAAATAAATAAGCAAACAGTAAATTAAGAAATAATAATCACAGTACAGGTAGTCCTTGACTTATGCCCATTCGTTTAACGCCCATTCAAAGTTACGATGGTGCTGAAAAAAGTGACTTGCGACTGGTCCTTGCACTTACGACTGTTGCAGCATCCCCACAGTCACATGATCAAAATTTGGGCACTTGGCAAATCGGTATGTACTGTATTTATGACAGTTGTAGCGTCCTGGGGTCACGTGATAGCCATTTGCGACCTTCCCAGGGGGCTTCCAACAAGCAAAATCAATGGGGGAAGCCAGATTGGCTTAACAACCATGTGATTCACTTAATGATCATGGCAAAAAAAGGTGTAAAATTAGGTGCAACTCACTTAACGACCACATCACTTAGCAATAGAAGTTCCAGTCCCAATTGCGGTAGTAAGTCAAGGACTACCTGTAACCTGAATAATAATAAATTGGAAATAAAGTGATACTTCTGACCAAGCCTTATTTATGGACCAATAAACTTATTGAGTCCTATGAGACCACAGGATGGCCTATCAGTTTTCATAAAGGGACACTTTCTATACTAGAAAGAATTTATAATTTTCCTGCTACGGTCCTTTCACCCCTCACTAAAAAGCACTAGGAAGCCTTAGTAGGGAAGCTTACAGCTTTCTTGGATAACACCCCAAGCCACCTCTGCATACTTTAAACTAAGAGAACTACAGGCTAAATATTTAGTTCCACCCTTTGTTCCACCCTCAAGAGGTTGCTTGCAAAGCTTTTAAGCATTTGCTGTTCTTTGATCAGAACTGGGGTCATATAAATACACAAGTCACACTATGTGATCACAAGTAAATGGATGTTCTTTCAGAGCAACACTTCAGATTGGATTCGTTTAAAGTTTTATTATAGTCATCATCAACCAAACAACATAAAAGTACTGTATTCAATAAAATCTTTTCAGTGAGATTTCAATCTTTGCAGTTCCAAGCATCACTTAGCTGTTCCCTTGTGTTCTAGGAGCAAAATACCTTAGAAAGTCAGCAAGTCAATAAATTGAAGGAAAACTCTGCAACTTTCTACTATACTTGATTTTCTGCAAACAAGTTTCTAGCCTCTGATCAGAGGGGATAGACATACAGATATTTTGGAGAAGTGGAAGTGATTTGAGAAAAGGCGTGCACATCTACCCTTACTTTCCCTCTAAGTTGTCTCTAAAAGGATAAATTTTGCAACTGTTTTTAATGTAAGCTGTTCCCCTAGAGGAAATAGTCAATTGACCATAGAGATAATCCAGAGATTTTCCTACAGTTTTCTAAAATTCCATTATGAAAATTATAAACTTTTAGATTGTAAGAGAAATCTTGCAAGGAACCTAATATATACCTGTTTCCATCATAAACTACAAATCTTATAAATTATATCAGTGTTTTTCAAACTTGGCATCTTTAAGATGTGTGGACTTCAACTCCCAGAATTCCCCAGGCAGCATGCTGGCTGGGGAATT